ATATGTATATAATATGTATATATATATATATATATATATAGATATATATATATATATAAGACGTATATATATAATATGCATATATAATATATATAATATATATTTATATACATTACATATAGCATAAATACAACATATGCACGTCTATGCATAGTATATATGCTACGTATACACTTCATCTATAGTATATATATACAAATATATATATATATATATGTATATGCATATATATAATATATATTTTATATATGTATATATATTGCTGCAGGGTTGTTGGAGGTGGTATTATCCGGCTATAAAGAAGTAAAGAGAGGCGTAATAAAGCAAGAAGAAGCAAAGACAGCGACTAGCGAAGCTAAACATACTTTTAGTTTAGCAGTAGAAGGATATGGTCTTAGAGAAGTCATGGGTACACCTGGAGTGCGCGCAGTCGGCGTTAAGTCTAACCATGTTGTTGAAGTTGCACAGGTAATTAGCTGTATGTACACCTCAACACTATATATATATATATATATATGTATATTTATATATATGTAGATATAGATGTATATGTAGATATAGATGTAGATATATATGGGAGCATGCAACACTCATTGCTGCTGCTGCGGGTGATGCTGCTCTTGCTGCTGCTCCTGCAAGTGCAGCAGCAGCAACAGAACCACGAGTAGCATCGGGAGGTGCAGCAGCAACAGCAGTAGCAACACTTGCAGTGCTTGGAGTAGTAGGAGTAGCAGCAGCACCAGCAGCAACAACAACAGCAGCAGCATCACAACGAGCAGCAGCAGCAGCAGCATCACACAACGAGCAGCAGCAGCAGCAGCATCACACAACGAGCAGCAGCAGCAGCAGCATCACTCGGAGCAGCAGCAGCAGCAGCATCACTCGCAGCAGCAGCACCAGCATCACTCGCAGCAGCAGCAGCAGCAGCAGCATCACTCTCAGCAGCAGCAGCAGCAGCAGCAGCAGCATCACTCGGAGCAGCAGCAGCAGCAGCAGCAGCATCACCCCTCTGCGCAGGAAACAATAAAACAAATTTGTTTGTTTGTGTTTGTTAATAGATTCTAGGGATTGAAGCAGCGCGACAAGTAATTATCGACGAAATTAAAAAGTGCATGGAGGCATATTCTATGAACATCGACTGTCGACATATGACGCTTCTGGGCGATGTTATGACTTTCAGGTACTTAGTTTAAATATATTTAGTTTATTTAATTAGTTTATTTAAATACCTTTGTTTAAATATAATTAGTTTATTTAAATATCTTTGTTTAAATATATTTAGTTTATTTAAATGTATTTGGTGTATTTAAAGTAAATGTCTTTGTTGTATTTACATAGATTTGTTCTATTAATATATAAGCATATAAGTATATATATATATATATTTATTTTATTTAGATATATTTTACTCTTATATATAGATGCGCTGTCTCCTTTGTTTATTGTATTTCTTTTTTTGTTTTGTTTGGGTGTTATATTTACTGACTGTGTTATTTGTTTATTGCATGTATTGTTTGTTTTATGTTGTTATATATAGATATCTTTATATATATATATATATATATATATATACATATATATATGCATTTGTATATGCTAATAAGTATGTACATAAAAACACAAATACAACAAAGACGAATAAAAAGAAAGTTAAGAAGTTAATAAAAAAAAATAGACAAATAAATAGTCAAATAAATAGGTAATTAAATAGAAAATTGTATAATGAAGAGTTATAATAAAATAATAATAAAATAATAATAATAATAATAATATTATTATTATTATTATATATTTATATTATGCGTTATGCTATGCGAATAGAGGTGAAGTGTTAGGGATAAATCGCTTCGGCATACAAAAGATGCGAGCCTCTACATTAGTTCTAGCTTCGTTTGAAGAAACAAACGAGCATTTGTTTGAAGCTGCTGTACATCATCGCTCTGATCCTGTTAAAGGTGTCAGTGAGTGCATCATCATGGGCAAGCCTATAGCCCTAGGGACGGGTTCTCTCGATATACTTGCGCAGCTCAATATACAGTGAGCATTGTTTATATTTTCTTGCTGCTCATGCTGCACACCTTCATGCTCCTCTTTATTATGCTCCTGCTAATCATCCTGCTGCTAATCGTGCTGCTGCTAATTATCCTGCTGCTAATTATCCTGCTGCTAGTTATCCTGCTGCTGCTGCTGCTGCTGAGAGTGATGCTGCTGGTGCAGATGATGATTCTGCTGCTGCTGTGAATGGTGCTGCTGCTGTGAATGCTGATGCTACTGTGAATGCTGATGCTGCTGTGAATGCTGATGCTGCTTCTGCTGCAGCAGGAGCAGCATCAGCACTGCAAACCCTAAACCCTAAACCACTAAGACGCGGGTTTAAGGTGTAGCTGAAGGCTGTTATTCTTTTTTTGTTTCTGTTTTGCTGTTTATGTTTATATATCTCTCTTTTGTTTTGTTTGTTTGTTTGTATTTGTTTGTATTTGTTTGCATTTGTTGCTGTTGGGGTTGATGTCTTTAATTTAAATATTTTTCTGTCTTTGTTTGTCGTTGGCTGCTGCAGGAGCCCTAAGAAGGAGTATGAGACCCTTCTAGCTCCTTACAAAACCACAGCAGCAGCAGCAGCAGCAACAGCAACAGCAACAGCAGCAACAACAGCAGCAGCAGCAGCAGCAACAGCAACAGCCCGTTCGTAAGAGACAAACTGTTTATTTTGCTGCTGCTTGCGGTGTACAACGCCTTTCGTTTTTTCTTTTTATTTTAACACTTAACTCTTCTTCTTTTAAATATTAAATAATAATAATAATATAAATAATAATAATAAACAGGTATACTATAATAATAATAAATAATAAGGTGCAGCAGGGGTAGACGGGAGAGCCGACAAACAAATGCATAAAAAGTAGAGTCGGGTTTAAAAGAAAATAACTCAAAGAAATTTATTTGCAATTAAAAAGAAGAAAAAACGCAGAAACTTTTATTTGTTTTATCTCCAAAGCAAACACTTCTTCAGGTGTACGTACACCCCGGCTAGACATATATATATATATATATATATATATATATGTCTAACCGGGGTGTATGTATATATGTATGCATATATATATATATATGTATATATATGTATATAAATATATAGATATATATAGTTAGTGCATGTATAATGTATATATATAATGTATATATGTAATGCATATATATATATAATGTATATATATATGTATATATAATGTATATATATACATTGTACATTATATATATACATATACATATATATGTATATGTATATGTATGTATATGCATGCATATAAATACCTCTAGACATTATGTATACATATATAATAATATATAATGTATAATAAGATACACTGTCTTCAGGTGTACATACACCTTGCTGAGGTGTATATACACCGTACAGCATTTAGATATGTATATATAAATGCATTGCTTTCAGTGTATATATGTATAAATTGTGTATATGCTGTATAAACAGCTCGTTCAGGTGTATGTATAAACACCTTGTTGCAGTGTATATATAAACTTCGTCTTGAGATGTATATACATCATACTGAGGTATATATATACACGCATAAGTATATATATATATATATATATGCATAAGTAAATAAATAAATAAATATATGTATATTTATATATATAAACATCTTGTTGCGATGTATGCATAGTCACCGTGTTGAGGTGCTTATATAATATATATATATATATATATATATACATATATATATATCTATATTTATATATACGTATATATATATATATATATATATATATATATATATTGTTGAGGCATGCATGCATACACCGTGTTGAGGTGTATATACACCGCAGCGTTTGCTTCTTCAGTATTTCTTTTCTCTTTCTTTTTTTTTGTTTTTTGTTTTAAATATTGTATTTAAAGCGAATGCCGCCACAGACAAAGACGAGAAACCCCTAATGCAATCCTTCATAAAGAGAAGCCGGGCGCTTAAACCCTAAACCCTAAACCCTAAACCCTAAAGCCTAAACCCTCCGCCTTCAGTAAACCCTAATCCTTTTCTGATGGAAATTGCATCTCTTAGATAAACAAACACCAGCAAATACACTCTTTTATACTGATAACAAACAAACAAACAAATAAACAATACTCGAAACAAACAAAGATTACAACGTCAGCAACAAACAAAAGAAGAAGCCTCATAGCGAAGTGTATACACTCTAAACAATAAATAATACAAACACCAACACTCAATCGCCTCCCTCCACCTGCTGCTGCTGCTGCTGCTGCTGCTGCTTCTGCGACAACGACTGCAGCTGCTGCAGAGCAGTTGCAGCAGCAGCACCAGCAGCTACTACTGCTGCAGCATCTGCTGCTACTGTTGCGACGACGACAACTCCAGCTCCTGCTACAGCTGCTGCTGCAGCTCCAGTAGCAGCAGCAGCAGCTGCTGCTGCTGCTGCTGCTCTTTTGCTGCAGGTTATAATGCCCAGACAGTAGGTGCTATCTCTTCTCTGCTTTCTCTCTAGAGCAAGTGCAGCAGCTGCTTCATCGGTTCTTATTATTTATTTTAAATTAATTATTTAATTATATAATTATTTAATTATTTAAGAAGGTGAAAAAGACGGTAAACAACGCGGCAACTGCAGCAACAAACCGCGCTGTCTTTGAAGTGTATCTCTCTTAAATTCTTTTTAAATTCTTTTTAATTTATTTAAATGCATTTTAATTTATTTATTATTTATTTTTATTTATATTTATTGTACTTTAATGCTTTATCCTGCTGATGCTATTACTACTTTTCTCTCTCTTTGTCTGTCTATACACCTGAACTTCTTCGGCAGGCATTGATATAGAGTAGTGTAATGTGTATACTTTAATAATATATTTATATTTATATTTATATTTATATCTATATTGATATCTAATACTTATTATTATTATTATTATTATATTTATATTTATATCTATATTATTATATCTAGGCCACTATATATATGCTTTTATGTATATAAATATAAATATATATAAATATGTATAAATATATATTTGTTTATCCCTATACGTACGTACATATACACTTACATACATATATATATAATATACATATATATAATATGCATACAATATATACATATATATATTCTATATTATACAAATACATACAGTATACATATAGTATGTAATATATATATACATATATATTTATACAGACATATATACTATATATATTAAATAGATAGATACACAAATATATATATTATATATTTATTATATATTATATATTTATATATATTATGTATATATTTACATTTATTATAGAATGTATATTATTGTGTATTTACGTCTGGGTCTGCATGCGATTGTAAGTGTGCATACCTCGCGTTTTATTTATTTATTTGTTTTGTTTGTTTTGTTTGTTTGTTTGTTTTATCTGTTTGTTTGTTTGTTTGTTTTTTGGTGTTTGCTTATTTGTTTATTCATTCATTCGTTTGTTTATTTGTTTATTTATTTGTTTGTTTGATTTGTTTGTTTGTTTGTTTGTTTGATTTGTTTGTTTGTTTGTTTGTTTTATTTGTTTGTTTATTTGTTTGTTTGTTTGTCTTTGAATGCGTTTATTAATTTGTGTGTTTGTGTTTATTTATTTTTTTTGTTTTTTGTTTGTTTATTTATTTATTTGTTTATTTTTCTTGCATTTGTTTCTTTAATATAGAGCTCTATATATATAAAGAGAGACAATACACTAAGATTAATATTTAATAAGTGAAGCATATGTTTATTCTTTTTTTCTTTATAATAGTTTAATAGACATACTGAGGTGTATATACACCGCAATATTGAGCTACAGCTATAAAGCAACTGCAGCGGGAGCACAACTCGCAAATCTCTGCTCTCTTTTTTGTTTTTTTGTTTCTTCGTCTTCTACACCAAATCTCTCTGCTCTTCGCTTCTTCTTCTCTTCCTGCATGCATTAACAACACTCATTATAATACTCTACATGCATATATATATATATGCATATATATATGTATATATATACGTATATATATGTATATATATCTATGTATATATATATATATATATATAATACGATGGCTTATTGCTTTTACTATTATTACTGTGATTATTATTACGCTTGTTATACATTTGTATACATATATATATATATATATAATATATACATAATATATATATAGAATATAAAATTCTCTATGGGTAATTATTGTGATTACGCTTGTTATGCATATATAATATATATAGAGAAACCTATATATAAAATATATAATAAATATATATATGTATATATATATTAAAGTAATACTATTATTTTGAGTGTATGTTCACCTCATCTATGAGCCCAAAGCGCTCTGCTCTTTTTCTTCGTTTTTCTGCTTCCTCCGCGTTGATGCTTGCAGCCTGAAGAAGAACTCAAATTGTTTAGTATTTGTTTATTCTCAGTGTAAATATAATTATTCTTTAATCTATTTATTTATATTTATTTGTTTAAATTATTTATTCATGCATTTGTGCATTTGTATTTCCGCTTAGCAACAACAAATGCAACTGAAGGCATCACACATGAATGTATATATCTGTAATTCTAATTATTTTTATTTATATTTTATTTATTTATTTATTTGTTTGTTTGCTTGTTTGTTTATTTATTTGTTCACTCACAACAAATTAACTCATTAAAATAAACAAAGACACGCAACAAATATTCACACCGGGCGCATGCAATAAGAAAAACAATTAAACAAATAAATAAACAAATAAGTAATTAAACAAATAAATAATCAAATAATAAATAGATAAAGGAATAAATAAATAAACAAATAAATAAATAAATTAATTAATTAATCAAAACAAGAGATCCTACATTAGCGGTGCTGCTCGCAGCTGTCCCCGTCGACATGCCGAACCTGTACACCGCAAGAAAATGCATTTAAATATAAATATAAATAAATAATAAATAAATGTAAATAAATATAAATATATATATATATATATATAT